TCCTTTGGGCCCAGGGTTCCTGCATGGAGGAGCTTCTAGACCAAGGGAAGATTGATGACAAGAACCTTCCCCCAGAGTTGACAGAGAGAGAAAGCCTTCCCCTGGAGCTGGCGCCCTGAATTTGGACTTCTCGCCTACTAGATTGTGAGAGAATAAACTTCTCTTTATTAAAGCCATCCACTTGTGGTATTTCTGTTATAGGAGCACTAGATAACTAAGACACAGGAGGAGGGAATGGTTGACAGACAAACATAAAAGGTGTACATTATTTGAGTTAAAATATGCTACTGGTAACAAAGGACTTCTGCCATTTTTTAATTTGTTTTCTGTGTGTCTTAGACCTTTTCTGTCTGTCATTTCCTTCAGTACTACCCTCTTTTATAATTAGTTGATTTTTTTTATAGTGAACCATTTAGATACTCTAATTTCCTTTTGAGTATATTTTTAGATATTTTCTTGTTGCCATTGGGATTACATTTAATATCCTAAATTTATAACAGTCTACTTTGAATTGATACTAACTTAACTTCAATAGCATGCAAAAATTCTATTCCTATACACCTCTAATGTTGTTGTCACAAATTTATATATTTATACGTTATATGCCCAGTACCTTAAATTTATAATGGTTTTTTATGCGTTTGTCCCTTAAATCATGTAGGGCATAAAAGTAGAATTACAACCCCAAAATATAATAATACTGGCTTTTATATTTGCCCATATAATTACCTTTTCCAGAGATATTTATTTCTTCATATGATTTCAGGTCACTGTCTAATGTCCCTTCATTTCAACCTGAAGGGCTTCCTTTAGTATTTCTCTTAAGGCAGTTTCTAGTGCCAGATAGAGAATTCTTGGCTGGGAATTATTTTCTTTTGACACTTTAAATACGTTATTCCATTGCCTTCTTGCCTCCATGGTTACTGCTGAGAAATCAGATGTTAATCTTACTGAGGGTCCCTTTTATGTGAGGATTTGCTTCTCTCTTGCTGCTTTCAAGATTCTTTAATTTTTTTTTTTAAGATTGTGTTTTCAGTGAAAGTTTACACAACAAATTTGGTTCCCATTTAACAATTTCTGTACAAATTGTTTGGTTACATTTTTCACACTGTGTCAGCACTCTGTTTAATTGCATTCTAGTTTTATTTCCAGTGCTGTAGTTTCCCTGACCCGATATCTTCTCATCTTTGCTTTAGAGTAATTGTTGCCCTTTTGGTGTCATACAGATGATATTTTCATGGAGTACTGTACTCAAGAGTAATACCCTTTATTTTGTGTGCCAGTCTGTTATTTCACTGAAAGGTGACCTCAGGGAAAAGGTTTGGTTTAAGGTTTAAAGAATATCTCAGAGCAATAGTCTTGAGGAGTCATCTAGTCTCAACTTGTCTAGTAAGTCTGAACTTTTTAAGAATTTGTGTTCTGTTCCATATTTTTCTCTTGTTCTGTCAGGGTCCATCTGTTGTGTCCCTGATCAGAATGGTCAGTAGTGGTAGCCAGGTACCATCTAGTTCTTCTGGTTTCAGGGTAGATGAGGCCATGGCTCACGTAGGCTGTTAGCCCTGTAGACTAGTTTCTTCTCTGAGATTTTGGTTTCCTTCTTTCTCTTTTGCTCCGGATGAGTACAGACCAATAGTTTTATATTAGTGTTTGTTATTTTTGACAGTTTCATTTTTATGTGTTTTAGTATAGATTTCTTTGAGTTTATTCTACTTGGAGTTTGTAGACTAAACTACTTCTTGGATGTATAGATTCATGTCTTCCATCAAATGTGGGAAGTTTTCAGCCATTATTTATTCACATATTTTTCTGCCCCCTTCTCCTTCTGGGACAGCTATAATGAGTATGTTGGTCCACTTGATGGTGTCCCACTGGTCCCTTAGGCTCTGCTCCCTTTTCTTTTTTTTTTTTTTCTCTTGGCTCCTCAGACTTGATAATTTCAATTTTCCTATCTTACAAGTTTGCTCATTTTTTCTTCTGCCATCTCCAGTCTGCTGTTGAACCCCTGTAGTGAATTTTTCATTTCAGTTACTGTACTTTAGTATTTTGATTTTCTGTTTGGTTCCTTTTTGTAATTTTTATCTCTTTATTGATCATTTTTATTTTGTTCATGTATCGCTTTCTGATTTTCTTTAATCCTTTGTCTTTTTCTTTAGCTATTTGAGCATATTTAATACAGGAAGTCCATTATCAGGGCTTCTAAAGGGATGGTTTCTTTCACTTTATTCTTCTATATGGAACGTTCTTTTCAGTTTCTTTGTGTGCCTTGTGATTTTTTCTTGAAACTGGGACGATTGAGTATTATAATGTGGTAACTCTGGAAATCAGATTCTTCCTCAGTTGCTGTTTAATTATGTATTTTTTAATTATTGAAGTCTACAGACATTTGTTTAGTGACTTCCTGTAACTATTTTTGCAAAGACTGCCTTCTTAGTTATGTGTGGACACTGACATCTCTGTTCCTTAGCCTGTGTTCAGCTAGTGTTTTAACAGAAATTTCCTTGAAAGCAAGGAGAAAAAAACACACAAAAAAGAACCCTTTACCAATCTTTGCAAATTGATTCTATGCCGGGCCTTCCTTCAGCACTTAGCCAGGCTTGCACTGAGCGTAGGGATCAGCCTGAGGTGAAATCTTTTCAAGTAATTTCTGAGCATACATACTGCCCTGGGTGTGCATGTGGCTTTCTTAAGTTGCCCATTATACAGGGAACTTTTGAAAGCCTTAATTTACAAAAGAAACTATTTCTAGCCTCTCCTTCTAGTCTTTACATGCCTATTTTATGCCTAATGCCACTCTTTAGACCCAGCCAGCTACAGATAGTCACAGCCTTAAGTCATTGCCTGCTGCCTCTCAGCCCCATGTGAGCTCCGAGATAGGCCCAACCAAGATGAGTGTCTTGCTTCAGTCCTTTAGGCAGCCCCAGAAAGGTAGAACAGACACACACGATACTTTGTTAGTGAGGTCTGCTCTGCTCCTTCTAGAACCAAAGCCCCAGCTCCCTTTCTGGGCGTGCAGACTGCTGCTGCTTTAAGATGGCCACATTCAGCTGGGGAGGAGGTGAGCCATTTGCAAGTAGAAAACCAAAGTTTTACTACCATTTAAAGATCACCTTTTTCTGGATTCAGCGTTTTTTTCATTGCTATAACCCTTTGACTGGTTTCCAGAGTTGTGACAAAGTTGGTTCTGCCATTTTTTTTTTTTTTTTTTTTTGTGTTTTTGTAAAGGGATGGGCATGTGGAACTGCTCTCACACCATCTTGCTCTGAACTGTGCCTCCTGTTTTGTTTTGTTTTTTAGCTTAAGTTTTTTTTAGGGATAGATGTTGGATTTTATGAGATTTTTTTTCCTTTGCTTATGTGACTTGGTCTATATTAATATAGCATAGTAGGAACCCTGGTTGCATAGTGTTTAGGCACTAAGCTGCTAACTGAAAGGTTGTCTGTTCGAACCCACTGCAGCCGCTCTGCAGAAGAAAAGACCTGGCAATCTGCTCCTGTAAAGACTACAGCGTAGAAAACCCTATGGGGCAGTTCTACTCTGTCATATGGGGTTGCTATGAGTTGGAATCGACTCAACTGCACACAGCAACAACAATATAGCATAATAGCTGTTGGGAACTTTTTTTAAAAATAGGAAAAGTGTTTTTGTTTTTCATCTAATGTGTTTTATAATAAAAAAATAAGATATTTTAAAATGACCGGAAGTAGTTACACTGTCTTACTTCAATTTTAGTGGATTGTATCAAATCTAACTAAAATACTACTGTTAAAAATGATTTTTCTTATATTAGTGTTCCGTCAGATTTCTCACACCGACAAATCCTGTTAGACTTTCAGATTATAACCAAAATCACCCATACTATTAGAATCTGGTTTTATCAAATGGTGTCATCAACTAGGAGCTCTGGTGGTGCAGTGGTTAAGAGCTCGGCTGCTGACCGAAAGGTCAGCAGTTTAATCTACCAGCCGTTCCTTGGAAACCCTATAGGGCAATTCTTCTCGGTCCTGTAGGGTCACTATGAGTTGGAATCAACTCAGTGGCAGCAGATTTGGTTTTTTTTGGTCATCAACTAGTGATTGGAAGTATTTTAGCTTGTAACTACCTTTTTATTTTTTGTCAGCTTTGTGTAATTTTATCCCTACCCAAAGCACCTTTCCTCTGTTTTGTCGTGACCTCTTAGATATGAATCATATCAGCGTCCTTTTCCTGCTTCTGAACTTCTTCATCCTTGGAGAAACCAAACATTCAAACACTCACTTCCCAACAACTTTATTTATATAGACCAACATTTATCTAATCCAAATAATGTTCATTTTTGTTTGTCATGAATAGAATGGACTTATGGGACTTTTAGGGATCATTTCTTGCCTTGTATCTTTGGGCCAACTTAAATGAATACAATGAATTATGAGTTTCACCTATTTTACCTAGAGTACAAAGGAGAATTTTGCATCTGAAACGTGAGAGAAGAAAACACCATATTTTTACGCAAATAGCGCGCACCCTCCACATTTGTTTGCCAGCCACACCTTCCCTCCATGAGGTATTTTTGTAAATGCGCTATGCTAATTTTGTTTTATTACAGCAGCATGTAAAAAAAATTGGCATAGCAGTGCTTATGAAAATACCTCACTTGGGGAGAGCATGGTTGGCAAACAAATGTAGAAGGCACGCACTGTTTGCGTAAAAATACAGTAAGTACCTTTGCCATTTATATAGCATCATTTATATAGCACTATTCATTTTATGTTATGCAAGCTGTTGATGTGCTTTTAGAACTTAATATATGAAAGTCGTAACATGGTAACATTTGTATATGAAAAAGCTGTAAACGTTCATTTCTGAATGTTTATTAGAATATTTTAGTTAAAAAGTTTGATATATGCTTAAATAAATGCTGTTTCATAATTTCACTTTGAAATATCATAGGTCAAGAGACATAGTTCTAAAGTGTTTCTGATTATATATTAACATATTTTCTCTTTAACAAAAAAATGATAAAGGATTCAAGTGGAATGACTCTAGTGATGCTTGCTGCAGCTGGAGGACAAGATGACCTCCTTAGACTCCTCATCAAAAAAGGAGCCAAAGTTAATGGAAGACAGAAGAATGGGACCACTGCACTGATTCATGCAGCTGAGAAGGTTAGGGACTTTGACAATGCATTGGTTTTATAATCTTTATGGGAATTCCTGCTAGTAGACTAAGAAAGAATCTTAGTGAAATACAATGGGGATAGGAGGAGTAGTGAATGAAGTCATACAGTCCTGTAACTTTATAATTCATATTTCAGTTGATCAATGACTTGTAATGAATGGATGCTTTTAGCAACAGTAGTACTGTGTAATCAAATTTTTGAAAAGGGATTTATCTAATTGCAAGTGATTTATATTAAAAATGATTTCTGCTTAAGATACTTACGTTACCTTTGGTTAATAATTTAGTTAAAATGTTCCCATGTAAAGAATCTATATGCAGAGGCCCTTATGTTGAAACCAGTTATTATACCTTAGGTTGAAATTGCTGGCAAAATAACGTGTGACTCTGCATTAGTGCATGAGGTGGGAGGGCCCAGTTCACAGCACCATCACATTCTCATAGGAATCTCTGTAGGAAGAAATTGGAATAATATATTCAGCAACCTGCTTGAGATAGAATCTGCTGATGACTTAAAATTTCAAAATATTTTAAAAAGTCTTCTAAAGAATTTTGGAAATTGAATTTGCTTTTTTTCATTTTTTTTTAATAGAACTTTTTAACCACAGTGGCTATTCTTTTGGAAGCGGGAGCTTTTGTAAATGTCCAGCAGAGCAATGGTGAGACTGCTTTAATGAAGGTAAATATGTTACACTGAGCAGGTGTTCATGGTAGGGCCTACAGTCACCCCATGCTTTGCTGGGCCCTGGCAATATGATGGGGAACAGGGTAGTCTCTGGACTCCAGCAGCTCACAGAGAATACAAGAAATAGATCAGTTAAACATGGTGTGACCCATCGTGTGATAGGAATAAGCAGAGAGAGCTGCAGCTTACATAAAACGGGTACTGAGTCGGATCTTGACTCAGGCAGAGCTTGATGGTGGAGTGACTGGTGGCTCAGCTGTGTCTTGAAAAAGAAAAGTTAGTGGGGATGATGCATATGAGGGAGCTATAGGAACATAGACCAGAACTGGATGTCCTCGTATACACCAAGACCGACCTGTGAATGAAAGCAACCATGATGTATTTTCATATTTTCACTACTATTCTGTATTGATGAATTCGTCTCCATGTGTTTTGGAATTGTGGTTTGCAGATACGTTTTGCTTGAGTGAGGAGTTGCTGAGCCTTCTTCCCCTCACGTACACACCTCCCCCTACATGCACATACATATCTGTTATTATCTCTCCTTGTTTAGTGATTTTGTATTTGCCTTGACTTGGCCTCCCGCTCATTCATAAATGGGCATTTCTAGGTTCTTGGCCCAAGATGCTGTTTGGACAAAGCAGGTCCAGACACAATCCCCAGTGGTGAGACTGTCTTTTGGCCTCCTTCCTAGGGATGCAGTTTTATATAAGTTATTGATCCAAGCAAGTATTTGTCTATAATAACTTTTCTCAACCTTCTGGCAAGACTGTCTTTCTGCCTTCTCCCTAGGGATGCATCTTTATATAGATATTGATCCAAGCAAGTACTTGTCTAGAATAACTTTTCTCAGCCTTCTTTCATGAGTGAAAGAATGAACTTACAGCCCCTAGTTTCGAGCAGGGAGCCTGGCCCTGAGCTATGTCTTGAATGAGGCTCTTACTCTCTATTATTCTAAAGGACTGGTTCACCTGCACCTCTGCCTCCTTCTACATTTGGGGTTTAAATCTTGCTAATTGCTTTTTGTTTCTGTTTTCATGGAAATGTTTATTTTGTTCATGAGCCTAGCTCTTCAGTTTTTCTTATGTGTTTCTGTTAGCGCCATATGTTTACATTAGAGATGGCGCCTCAGACCATGAATTTAAAACATCTTATTGAACCAACCACAAGCTACGTAGCTAGATCTGGAGTGTCAAGTGTGTATGGGGAGGGAGGAGGACAAAAATTTTGTGTCATGTTAAGGATTTAGGAATTTATCTGGAGGGTAATTGTGAACCATTGAAAGGTTTAAGCTGGAGAGAAACATAATCAGATTAAAGGTTTTATTTTTGTTGTTTTTTTATTTTAATATCCCTTAAAAGGAGGAATGGACTGGTTAGGGAAACCCTGGTGGCTTAGTAGTTAAGAGTTAAGCTACTAACAAAAAGGTTGGCAGTTTGAATCCATCAGGTGCTCCTTGGAAATTCTGTGGGACAATTCTGCTTTGTCCTATAGGGTCACTATGAGTCGGAATCCACTCAACGGCATTGGGTTTGGTTTGGTTTTGGTTTTGACTGGTTAGACAAAACGCAGTTTGCAAACTTGTTGGGAGGCTCTGAAAATAAGTCAAATAATAGTATTTTGTACCCAGTTAGTGACAGTGGGAATCAAGAGAAGTGGATTGATTGCCCAGATTTTTAAGGAGGTGGGATTCACAGGACTTGGTAATTAAAAGTGATGCTTGGTAACCCTGTTTCTTCTAAATTGGGGAACACAGGCAGTGCAGATGTGAGAGGCAAGATGGTGCCTTTCAGCTTTTTACATACTAAATGTTCAGAAGGCATTTTCCATTTGAATCTTAGCTCAGGAGAGAGATATGGGCTGGAGATTCAGATTTGAGAGTCATCAACATAGGTGACAGTGATTATAACCACAGGTTGAAAGACACAGGGTTACCCATGGAGAATAAGAAAGGAGAAAAACGCCAGAGATGGAAGGAGGCTGTAGGAAAGACCAGAGAAGTAGGGGGGAAATCAGGGGGGGAGGATACCATGAAAGCCAAGAGAAGAAGGTGTTTCAAGGCGAAACAGTGTCTGATGGGGCAGAGAAGTCAAAGAATAATGGGGCTGGAAAATACCATTTGGATTTAGCAACTTGCAGAGTGTTGGCAACACTGTCCAGGAGTTTGGGTTAAGTTTGACTGGGGATGTTAGATTGCAGTGGAAGGTGAGGGCATGAATAGAAAGTATAGAGCACTTTTAATAGCTTTGTTTGTTAAGAGAAAAGAAGACCACCTGGGTGGAAAGTGGGCCAAGGAGGGGTTTGCTGGTTCTTCCCTTTAATTAGCATCTAAATCAGGTAGACTACGTATGTCTATAGTTAATTTGGTTGGTTGGTTTAGGTACTGATTCCTAAAAAGCAGTATTTAATTGCTTTAAGGATTTACTATATTAAATCAGTGTTACTGAATTTTAGAATTAGAAGAAATAAACATGAGAGGAAAATGTTCAGAATATAAAACGTTTCGTCTCTCAGGAAAAAATACAGAAAACTGGTCATTAACAATTGGTGAGGGGATGGAGAAATAGGCGCTCTCACGCATTGATGTTGGGAATGTACTTCCGTTAGAGCAGTTTCTCAGCCTTCCCATTATTGACATTTTGAGCCAGATCATTCTTTGTTGTAGGGGGTTGTGTAGGGTAGTTAGCAGCATCCCTGACCTCTACCCTAGATGCCAGTAGCACCTCTTCCAATTTGTGACAACCAAAAACGTGTCCATGAAGATAAAAATTGCCCTTGGTTGAGAACCCTTTTGAAGGACAGTTTGTGAGAGTCTGTCAGGAGTAAAAAGATGCACCTTGTATCATGCAAAAGAATGAAGCTGGATCCATACCTCACCCCATATACAAAAATTAATTCAAGATGGATCAAGGACCTATATATGAGATCTGAAACTATAAAATTCTTGGGAGAAAACATAGAGGTAATATTGTTGCCAAGTTGAAACCCCAGGTTCTGCTTGGCATGACTCGTCTCAGCCAATAAATGAGAGATCAAGGTGGGAGAGTGGAAAGGCACCTTTATTTCATTGCACAAGGAAAGGAAACAGTTGGGGCTGCTGCCGCCAAGACTGCCCAGTGAGGGTGAAGGGAAAGGTTACTTTTAAGGGGTTTGCAAGTAGGAAGTTCTTCAAGTTACGTCAGCAACATTCTTAATCATACTATGCTGGTGCAGTGTGGTTTACATATAACATCATGCATCGCGTGTTCAGAAAATGGTGGTTAAACTCTACGCAGAGGCAGGGAAGTTACTACGTATGAGAGCTAAAGGGTTATTCTGAATGTCAACATGGTGCCTAAACCAGTTTCTGCCAGTTTCCTCTAGTTTTGGGCAGCAGTTAAGGAGAGGGGAACCAGGATTTTAATGTAAAACAACGGGATGTGTCAAGCAAAGGAACCCGGATTTTAATGTAAAGCTACGGGACGTGCCAGGGAAGCTGCTTGAGGCAATGGAGTTTTCCACAGCCTGGGGACCTCTGTCTTATCCTTCATTTTCTTTTTGGACATTGGTAACTCAGCACCAATGTCCATTCTGAACTATAGCCTTGCTTGGAATTGTTTGGCATGTTCTTGTGTAGCATAGGCTTGAACAGTTGGCCTTTCATTGTGGCCACTGATCTACTGTTGAGGTACTATGAATAGAATGCCACTGTATGCACAAAGTTGCTGAATAGTCAGACTTCACAGTGGTGTATTGTACTCTGTTTTTATTTATTAGTTGCGCCTCCTGCTTTAGCCAGTAAGTTGGATGGAGAGGTACAGAGATTATGGGTAACCCTTGCTCTACATGCAAAGGGGAGTGTGAACAAATCCAGCAATTGTTAGCCCATGCAGTATGGTTTACAACTGCCTGGTGCAACCTATTAAGAACATTAAAATCCCTTCCAGCATTTATGCATAGGGCTTCTCTTAGGAGTAACCACATCACCCTGTTCATGGTTGATTCTGCTCACTCAGAGATCTACAGCAATCTAACCTTTCCAAGTAGAGTATAGAGGTATAGGAGACAATACTAACACCAAGGTTACTGGCAGTGTTAGGAGTCTTTGGGGGATCTCACCTATGCAGGAGGATGTCAGGTAAACAAGTACTTAAGGTCCTTGACTAGCTCACAAGTCCAGCTCTTACAGTTCTGACCAGTTGTCCCTCAGCGTCCCGCAGTGTGGTTTTCTTCACCCAAGTGTGCTGGATCCAAGCTTTGAGCCCACTGAGTTTGACAGCTGTCAGCGTAGCCAAGAGGACTTAAAAGGTACCGGTCCACTTCTGCTGAATGGGATTGGCTTTCCACGCCTTCAGAAGGACCCAGTCACCAGGCTGGAACAGATGGAGGGGCACCTGTGACTCAACGCGAGCTCCTCAGGTGAGCATATCTGTGGAGAGAAGACAGAGTCACCCAAAGAGACTGTAACTATTTAGTAACTTGAACGTCTCCAGTCTCGTGGAGTGAGGGAGGTTGGTCATTATTAAGGAAAGCCACGTTGGTCATATTGGGGTTTTCTAATAAAGGGCGCCTGTATAAAGCTCAAATGGACTAAGTTTTAGTTTGTCTCTAGGGGCGAACCAAACTCTCAAGAGGGCCATAGGCAGTGCCTCTGTCCATACCAACTTAGTCGCTTGGCTTAGCTTTGCTAGATGTCTCTTCAGAGTCTGGTTAGCCTGTTCTACTTTACCACTGGACTGGGATCTCAAGGCTGTGCATAAGTTCCAATTAATGTCTAGGGCAGTTGCCTCTGATTGCACCACCAAGGCCACAAAATCGGGCCCACTGTCACCCCCAATGGAGATGGGAAGTCCAAATCAAGGGGTGATTTCGTTCAGGAGGTGCTTCACGACCTCGGTGGCCTTTTCAGTCCTGCAAGGAAAGCTTCAACACAGTTAGTGAAGGTGTCGCTAAAGACTAGCAGATATTTGTAATTCTTGGGAGCTCGAGACATCTCAGTGAAATCTGCCTGCCAGTCATCTCCAGGCATTGCCCGAGTTCACTGGACCACTGGGGGTGCTTCAGCAGTGTTCTTGGGATTATTTTTCATGCAGGTAGGGCAGCTCTTTAACTACTGCTGAAATAGTGGCATGGACCTTTGGTCCAATTAAATGTCTCTTAACCCAGTCATATAATGGTATCAAAATCCTGTTGCTCTGTCCTGGTCCATTCTAAAGGGTCTGTGTCTTTTCCCTCTAAGGCTCGGTGTAAAGGCTTGGCAATAAGTCTGAAATTTGGGATCCAGATGAGGAAAAAACCAGCCGTTCTCAAAAAACCTCAGAGCTGTCTGTTTGGTAGGGGCCACCAACCTGTAGATAGCGTCTTTTTAGGCAGGGAGGAGTTCTCACTTTCCCTGTCTGATTTTTAAAACCTAGAGAAATCACCTCCTTTTGGTTGACCTGAGCTGCTGCTTCTGAGATCTAATACCCTGCATTTCCCAGGAAGTTCAAAACTTCTTTGGTATTCTAGACTGAGTCATACTCACTGCGATGAGTAGGTCGTCCACATATTGGAGGAAGACACCATTGATCAGGGTCAGTTGTCTCAGTTCTTGGCCCAAGCTGATCTAAAAAGAAGACTGTTTTTAAAGCCTTGTGGGAGGACTTGCCAGCACAACTGCTGTTTCTGACCTGTTCCTGGGTCCTCCCACTAAAAGGCAAAGATTTCCTGACTTTTGTCCACTTGGATGCAAAAGAAGGCATCCTTCAGGCCTAGCACAGTGAACCTGGAAAAGGTGGGTTACAGGGTTGACAGCGGGGTATACAGGTTGGAAACTACGGGGTGGACATGACAGTTACCTGGTTGATGGCTTGCAGATCCTGAACAAACCAGTATACTCCATTTTTCTTCTTCACTGGCAGTATGAGGATGTTGAACTGTGACTGACCCGGTCTGAGCAGTCCATTTTTCAGGTATCTGGTGATGATTTTTCCCAGTGCCCGTCAGACTTCTGCCTGGATGGAGTATTGCTTAAGTCGGGGGAGAACTATGTTGGGTAGGAGTTCAGCTGCCACAGGGTGAACATTTTTGGCATATCCTGGCACCTTGTTGGCCCATACCCACAGAACCACTGCGTTCTTGATGTCTGTCCCTACCAGTCCTTGGTTAGCATCCTTCTGCATTATAATTGGTGGGCAACTCAGCAGTAAGGGCCATCTGCAGTCGCCATCCATTCTCTGGTGGTACCTGCATCTACAAGGTTCCTTTATCAAAAGAAATTTGTGCTTGGGGTTTGCACAAGTCTCTTGACAACAACGGAATGGGATAGTCAGGCATGTAGAGAAAAGAATGTGTTAATGACTTTCCTTGTATGGAGCAGGTCAGAGGCTGGCGGAAGGGAGGGTTCTTTCTCCCTGTTACCAGAGACTCCCACGACCAACACAGTTTGTTTCGTCAGGGCTGCCTTTTTCTGGGTCAGGACAGAGTGGGTTGCTCTGGTATCCACTAGAAACTGTACAGGTCCCCCCACCCCCATCCTTCATTATAACCAGAGGCTCAGGTGGGGGACTTGCCTCCAGTCCTCCTCAATCCAGGTCTTCACCTGTCAGCATTATGGCACACTGGGCAGCACCAGGCTTTTTCTTATCTCTGGGTAGGAATTTAGGGCACTCTCTTTTCCAGTGTCCTCTCTCTGCACCAGGCCCACTGGTCTTGGCTTAATGGGGGTTAGGGACTCTCACCTCCGTCTTTCTTCAGGGGCCCTCCTCTTCTTGGTCCGCTGGGAGATGGGTCATTTCCCTGCAAGGTGGCAGCCAGGAATGCGACCTGACTCTTCTGATCAGTGATTTTTTTCTTTTCCTGTTCCTGATCCCAGTTGGAATATATCTGGTAGGCAAGCTTATCAAGCCATGAGATCCCCAACTCCACACCTCCCTCATGTTTCTGGAGGTTTTTTTCTGTATGTCCGGGTCACTCTGCCTGATAAAAAAAATCATTTTCACCATGTGAGCTTTTTCAGGACTCTCAGGGTCCATATCTGCAAGCTGTCTAAAAGCCTCATAAATTTTTACAGAAACTTAGAGGGATCTTTGGTTGGTTCTTGTTTGATCCCATATATTTTGCTAAGATTTTTTGTTTTTTTGTTTTTTTGGCACCCCTTTCCTCATCCCTTCTAAAAAGGCACTCCCGGTGATAAGCAAGGTCAGTGCATCCCTCGGCCATCTGGTGATCCCAGCCAGGGTCTCCCATGGGGAAAGTCTCTACCCCGGCTCATTTACTGCCTACATCTGTTGGCCTCAACCCTACCCTTTTCTAGGACCATGTGCCTTTCTTCTGGGGTCAGGAGCACAATCTAGCAGCACCTGACAGTCTGTCCAATTAGGGTTATGAGTGAGGAAGATGGATGCAGAAAGATCCTGCATTCTCTTAGGGTCTTCCCAATACCTGGGGCAGTGGTTTTTCCAGTTATAAAGATCAGTTGTTGAGAAAGGTTGGTGGACCCAGACCATGCTGGTATCTCCTGCTGGGACTTGTTGGAGGGGGTGCATGCCCCTGGGTTCGACTCTGCTATGGTGCTCCCAAGAATTGGTCACCCTCATGTTACTTTTGTTCTCCCTAGTCACCAATTGGGGTGCCCAAAGGCAGTTCCATTCCATGTATGGGTTGGCGAGCCCAACGCCAGGGCAGAAGGGCTTGGGAGGGGACTAAGAGGGTTTAGCAGTGGGAATCATTGCCTGTATAGTCGCTTCTCCCAAAACGGAAGAATAAAGGGAGGCGGAGCGGCAGGCAAGGGCAACAAGGATTCTTCCTCAGGATCAGAGGGGAGGACTGGTGGTGTGATCTGCTGCCTCCTTTCTGGACTAGAATTTTACATTACTTCTGCAACCCCTTATCCCAATACAGTCATAAAGGTGGAAACCATAATACTTTTCATCTCATTTACTCTCATGAATACAGAAAAGATCAAGTTGGAAGATTGTGTTATAATTTAGAGACTACTTGCTGGACACTTTTACCCATCTGCCAGTTCATACTGAGGACATGCAGTGTTAGAAAAGAAGATCATCTTCTTCTTTTTCATAGGGTCTGACCTGCAGTATTCCCAGTTCTTAAGGATTCATCCTAGCGGGCTGCATTCTGGGATCCTTTGAGTGTTCTCCATTCTCCGGACACACATACACACTTATACACTCCCACAACCTAATTCAGTACACCAACCTAATAACAGATACCTAGAGCCTTTTACACCCTCAACAGTCAATTCGTCCCACTTCTTGGGACTCTTCTAAGGCCTTACCTAGGTACTTACCAAATAACGCGGGCACATTTCGTGTCTCCTGCAGAGTCATGGTTGAGTCTGAGGCAGATCAGCTTCCAGGGCTGCTCCAAGGTCTCCGGGAGAAATCTCCTGGTGGTGCCAGATGTCAGGGCCAGCCTGTTGTCCAGTCCACCTCCAGAACCAAGCAGATGACTCCTGGCTGGCTTGCCAGAAATGTTGTCAGGTGGAAACCCCAGATTCTGCATGGCACTACTCATCTCAGCCGATAAATGAGAAACCAAGATGGGAGAGTGGAAAGTTGCCTTTATTTCACTGCACAAGGAAAGGAAACAGTTGGGGCTGCTGCCGCGAAGACTCTTCAGCGAGGGCAAGGGGGAAGGTTACTTCTAAGGTGTTTACAAGTAGGAAGTGCATGTAAGTTACATCAGCACCATTTTTAAATCATACTACGCAGTTGCAATGGGGTTTTCATATAATTTCATGCATAGTGTGTTCAGAAAATGGCGGTTAAACTCCACCCAGAGGTGGGGAAGTTACTGTGTATGAGGTCTGAAAGGTTACTCTGAATGTCAACATGGCACCTAAACCAGTTTCCACCAATTTTTTGTGCCAGTAGTTAGAGAGGAACTAGGATTTTAATGTAAAGCTATGGGGCTTGTCAAGCAAAGGAACCAGGATTTTAATGTAAAGCTACAGGGCATGCCAAGCAAGCTGCTTGAGGCAGTGGAATTTTCAGCAACCTGGGGACCTCTGTCTTACTACTTCAGGACATAGTTTTTAACACTGATGTCTTAGATACGTCACCAAAAGCACGAGTAGCAAAAGGCAAAATAGATCAGTTGGACTTCATGAAAATCAGAAACTTTGGTGCATAAAAGGACTTAATCAACAGAGTGAAGAGACAGTCTGCAGATTGAGAGAAAGTTGATATGATGTTTAATATCCAGAATGCATAAACTAAAAACCGAAACCCATTGTTGTCGAGTCAATTCTGACTTATAGCGACCCTATAGGACAAAGTTGAACTGCTCCATAGAGTTTCCAAGGCTGTAATCTTAATGGAAGCTGACTGCTGCATCTTTCTCCCGTGGAGCAGCTGGTGGGTTTGAACTGCCAACCTTTCAGTTAGCAGCCAAGCACTTGAACCACTGCATCACCAGCGATCCTTCTAGAATATGTAAAGTACTCCTAAATGGGAATATAAAGTGGTATAGCCACTGTGGAAAACAGTTTGGCGGTTCCTCATTTTACTTGGATCCACAATCAATCCCCACGGAAGCAGCAGTCAAGAAATCAAACAATGTATTGCACTGAGCAAATCTGCTGTAAAAGACCTCTTTAAACTGTTAAAAAGCAACGATGTCACTTTTAGGACTAAGGTGCGCCTGATCCAAGCCATAGTATTTTCAGTTGCCTCACGTGCATTTGAAAGCTGGACAGTGAATAAGGAAGACCAAAGAAGAACTGATGCATTTGAATTATGGTGTGGGTGAAGAATATTGAATATATCGCAGACTGCCAAAAGAATGAACAAATCTGTCTTGGAAGAAGTACAGCCAGAATGCTTGTGTACTTTGGACACGTTATCAAGAGGGAGCAATCCCCAGAGAAGGACATCATGTTTGGTAAAGTAGAGGATCAGCAAAAAAGAGGAAGACTCAACAAGACAGATTGACACAGTGGCTGCAACAGTGGGCACAGCAACAACTGTGAGAGTGGCGCAGGACCATGCAGTGTTTTGCTGTTATGCATAGGGTTGCTATGAGTTGGAACCAAATTGATGACACATAACAGCAACAACAACAAACAGTTGAGCATCTAATTACCATATGGCACAGCAATCCCAATTCTAGGTACTGTATTTTTTCGCAAGTGACACGCCCACATAAGTAACGTGCTTACACACATGTAACACTTAGGAAAATAATGCTACAGGTTGCACCATTGGCAAAAAATGTATAACACGCATATTATTTGCATGCAAATATGGTATATACCCAGAAGAAGTGAAGGTGGGAATGCAAACAGACTTACACACTAATGTTCATTGTAGCACTTCACAGTAGCCAAAAGGTGGAAACAAGTGAAATGCCCATCAACAGATGAATGGATAAACAAAATCTGATGTATACATACAATGGAATATTAAATAGCTGGAAAGAGAAATGAAGTTGTGATGTATGCCACAACATGGATGAACCTTGAAAACATGTTGAGCAAAATAAGTCAGTCACAAAAGGACAAATACTGTATGATCTCACTTATATGAAATAGGCAGATATATAGAGACCAAAGTTTATTAATGGTGTTATGGATTGAATTGTGTCCCCCAGAAATGTGTGTCAGTTTGGCTAGGCTGTGATTCCAGTATTGTGTGATTATCCACCATTTTGTGATTTGATGTGATTTTCCTGTGTGTTGTAAATCCCACCTTTACGCTGTTAATGAGGCAGGATTAGAGGCAGTTATGTTAATGAGGAAGGACTCAATCTACGTGATTAGGTTATATATTAAGTCGGTCTCTCTTGAGATATAAAAGAAGCTAGCAGAGAGATGAGGGATCTCATTACCACTAAGCAAGAAGATGAAGATCCAGGAGCGTGCATCTTTTGGACCCGTGGTCCCTGTGTTGAAAAGCTCCTAGACAAGAGGAGGATTGATGACAAGGACCTTCCCTCAGAGTCAACAGAGAGAAAAAACCTTCCCCTGGAGCTGGCACCCTGAATTCAGACTCTAGCCTCCTAGCCTGGACTGTGAGAGAATAAATTTCTCTTTGTTAAAGCCATCCACTTGTGGCATTTCTTTTATAGCAGTACTAGATAACTAAGACAAGTGGTTATTAGTTTATTAGGGAGGGAGGGGGGGAGTCATTACTAAGGGGACACTAAATTTCCGTCAGTGGTAGTGGGATAATTTGGAAACTGTGGTAATGGTTGTACAACATGAACGTAGTTAGTGTCACTGCATTATACATTATAAAAATTGTTGAATTGGCAAATGTTACATATTTGTACCACAATAACAATAATGTTGTCTTTTGACTTAGCAGTTGTACAACTTAGAAACCTATTCTCTAGAAGTATTAGTAGAATATCCATATAGATATAATGGCATTCTTGTTATAGTGAAAAAGTTGAGATAAATGCCCATCAATAGGGAAATGATTAAATTATTAATGTATATGCCGTGGACATAACAGCTGTTAAAAAGAATGATGTAGGCAATGTAAGTGTGCCGATAATGAAAGTTACCCAAGATATATTGCTGATGAAAAAAGTAAGCTACAGAATATAGCTATGACCTCACTTTCGTAGAAAATGGAAACAGAAAATGAGTTTGTATATTTGTGTGAACGCACTTCTTTGTAAATAGAAAAATGGTCTACAACAACTTGGAGCACTTCTCTCTGGTCAATGGGATTTAGGAGTTTAAGGAAAGTAATGGAGGGGAACTTTCACTTTTATTTTATATGCTCTTGCATTGAGGAAAAAAGTTTTTTACATCGATCACATATCATCATCGTTTGTAACTTAAAGAAGAATCAAAAAGTTTACCTGTTCTAAACCCCTTTTCCTACAGATAAGGAAGCTAAGTCTCAGATGTGAAATGACTTATCCAAAATCACACAGCTAGTGAGTTGTAAATCTGGGATTGGAGCCTTGGTATTGTAACTTCTTCCTGTGATTTAAAAAAAAAAAAATAAGCTTTCATATGTTTTAAGTTGTAGGCAAGAACCTCTCATAGTTAAATAGTGTACAGAAGCTTGAGGATTCAAATAAATATCTAGGACTTAGTAACACCTTTGGAGCCCTGGTGGCTTAATGGTTAAGAGCTTGGCTTCTAACCAAAAGGTCAGCACTTCAAATCCACCAGCTGCTCCTTGGAAACCCTATGGGGCAGTTATACTCTGTCCTGTAGGGTCGCTATGAGTCAGAGCTGACTCAATGGCACCTAACAACAGTTACGCCTTCATTCAGATATTAGAATTTTTTAGTGACTTGATTCGAGCTACTCAAAATCTGGTCATTGGACTAGCTGCAGCTCTGCAAACTGTTTGTACCTGTCTGTGATGAGATAGAAGCCCTGGTGGCACAGTGGCCAGATGCTCAGCTGCTAACTGAAAGGTCAGCGATTCGAACCAGCCAGCTGCTCTGCCAGAGAAAGACCAGTCTGCTTACATAATTGAAAACCCTAGGGACAGTTCTGCTCTGCCCTGTAGGGTCACTATGAGTCAGAACTGACTTGATGGCAACAGGTTTGGGTTTCGGTGATAAGAAGTTTGCATCATCATGTAAATCATCTACATTGCTAAGCACACTGTTCTGTTCAACTCTTTTTTTTTTTTAGTAAAAAGTCTGGATGTAGGCAGCATGCTCCTTATTTTGCCGTGGGCTCCATCACCTGGTTTGAAGTACCCAGTGTGTTTTTGTAGAAAAGGTTACTCTCCTGGGCCTGGTCTTGTTACATGATTTCATTTCAACCTCACAGTGTTGTGAGGTATAAATACTGTTATTTGCTTTTGACAAATGGAAGAAGTGAGACTCAGAAGAATTAAGGGATTTACCCCAAGTCATATGGCTGGCAAGTGACAGGAATAGAACCTTGGACCTGGGTCCGTTTACTCCTGAAATGGTCTTTGGGCTGTGTCATGGTTCCAGCTTAGATGTATTGAATTTGAATTTGTATTATGCTTCAGTAGCCCCCTTGAGAGCAGCTGCTAGGAACATTTTGAAATTGTTTTGTGACCCTAAGAGGTGATTTAGTTTCCCAATAGGAAGTTTCTAACAGTGAGTGGCAACAAGTCTTGCTTCTCTCAGAGTCACAGTATGTGCTCACAGAGACAGCACACAGGATGAACAAGGCCTGGTGTGTCTTCTGCCTGGGACAGAAGTATCCTTTGGTAGCCTGTTTGCTGAAGAGTCAGTCAGTGAAGAAGTTAATTGAATGTACACACACATTCCTGTACTGTTCCCTGAATAAACAGAGGACACTACTTTGCATTTATAGAGTGCTTCATGGTTTCTCATTGGATTTAAAACAATCCTAAGAAATGCCATATAGGGCAAATGAAAAACTGAGGCTTAAAGGCTTGACCTATAAAAGTGGTTGGCCAAGACTCCAGGCTCTTCCCTCTCTCTTCACAGAGAACGCCTGGGCTAATGTGTGGAGAAAGGAGCACACACTGATTGGTACCTACAAAATGTTACAGTTAGGTAATTATTACTCTTTTTCCTGACATAGGCCTGTAAAAGAGGAAATTCGGACATTGTACGGCTTGTGATTGAATGCGGAGCTGACTGTAATATTTTGTCAAAGCACCAGAATAGTGCACTGCATTTCGCTAAGCAGTGTAACAACGTGCTGGTATATGATCTGCTTAAGAATCATTTAGAAACGTAAGTATGAAGTGAATATGCTGTGGTTAAATCACAAAATATGATGTGTCTGTTTGATTAGACACATTATAATTGGTATGGCCTGTCTCTAACTGCTCAGAAAAAGATTGTCGAGTCCTGGTGGGGTTCTGTTCCCAGCAGACAGGAAATGAATTTAATAAGTGGCATATGAATTATTTTTCTGCAAGTCACTAAGGTCTGAGAAACTTTCACACTCACCACTGTGACATCTTGGATTATCTCCTTAAAATCTTAATTTTACTCTTAATTTGGATAGCATATGTTTTCTTAAAAACTTGCAGACTTTAGTTCATACTGTTTAAAATGAATTCTACATTATATTTCATTTTATTTTAAGCTAATTCTTCACGGCTGGTAATTTAGTATCTTTTTATCACTTAAATCTTTTGGCAGCATGTAACAGAAACTCCACAGACAGTACACAGGGAAGTGTTGATTTTTTTTTTAAAACAGGGCATCTAGGGATAGGCAACCTTAAGCAGGTATAGCTGCTCTTATTCTCTTTTCCTGACCCACCATACTTAGGATTTGACTTCGGCATGCCTGCAAGATGGTTACTCCAATTCTAGGCATAGGATCTGCATTCTAAGCAGAAAGATGAGAGACAAGACAGACAAAAATCCGACAAAGGCATGTGCCTTGTATCCGCCCACTTTACCAGCCCTGTTGGAAGCCCTTCACCCAGTCAGGAACTTCTTGTGCATCTGTGGCCACCAATGGTGCATGTGTGGCTGCCAGGGGTCCTAGGAAGCCACTATTTCAGGTGGACAAGCTGCCACCTGGAATCAAGTCAGTTTTGTTAGTAGAGGAAAAGAGAAAATGGATTTGGGGTAGGAAACGGGTCTTCTCTGCCACATATCAAAGCCTTTGTTCACATTAGTTAACAGTTACAGGTAGCCTGCAAGTTTGCCTGGTTTGCCTGGGACTGAGGGGTTCCCAGGGTACTGGATTTTAAGTGGCTTCGTCGCACTTGAGACTTTCAGTGCTCAAACCAGAATGCCCCTGGCAAACCAGATGAGTTGGTCACCCTACCAGCAAGACAATTTAGATACTTTGGCTAGATCAGATAGCACTGATGACTCTATCTTTTTTTCTTAACTACACACTGTAACAAGACTTTGTGTGACAGTTCTTGAATTTATTTTTTAACATTTCTCATTTCTGATTTTTCAGATCGATCATTCACTAAACAAATATGAACTGAGCACCAACTGTTGAGTAGGGGAGACAAAGACCTTCCCCTCTTGAAATTTACATTCCATTGAGAGGAGCTAGTAAGACAGGTGTCTAGTATGTCAGATGCTGAGTGCTAAACAGAGAGAAAACAGAACCAGTGTTGCCATTTTTTTGTAAAAAGGTTGAACAAAACTGATCCCAGGTGGCGGGTTTTTTTTTTTTAAAAAAGGAAGGCCTCCCTATTCAACTCTAGAATAGATTTATGGCTTATGGTTCTTTTCTACATTAATACTGACAACTCTTACTATACTTTTTTATTAGACTTTCAAGAGTAGCAGAAGAGACAATAAGGGATTACTTTGAAGCACGTCTTGCTCTACTAGAACCAGTTTTTCCAATAGCGTGTCATCGTCTCTGTGAGGGACCAGATTTTTCAACAGATTTCAATTACAAGCCCCCACAGAACATACCAGAAGGTAAACCTGTGCTTTCTCTCTGAAACATGACACTATAAATATTAACTAATATTTAGATTATTTTTAGAACCCTCCCTTTGAACAAAACTTTAAACAAATTCCATTATGCATAATAATGATGTAAACTAGTTAACAGCAGAGCTGCTTTGACAGAAGAAAGAGACCCAACTGATACCTAACATCTCAGGTGACTTTGAAGAGATCCCATAGAGCACTGTATTAACAATCATTTAAGAATCAGGTAATAGGAAATAAAGGATAATATTTATGCAAGTTGGGTCTTCGTAATTACACAATAATTACACATTTTTACTGACTTTTATTAAAATTTAGCTTCAAGATTCTAAGCCCAGACGTCAGGGTTGTATCCTTTCACCATACTTATTCAATCTGTATGCTGAGCAAATAATCCGAGAAGTTGGACTATATTGAAAAAGAATGGGGCATCAGGATTGGAGGAAGACTCATTAACAGCCTGTGATATACAGGCGACACAACTTTGCTTGCTGAAAACGAAGAGGACTTGAAGCACTTACTGATGAAGAAGATCAAAGACTACAGCCTTCAGTATGGATTACACTTCAACATAAAGAAAACAAAACTCCTCACAACTGGACCAATAAGCAACATCATGATAAATGGAGAAAAGATAAGAATTGTCAGGGATTTCATTTTACTTGGATCCACAATCAACACTCATGAAAGGAGCAGTCAAGAAATCAGACAATGCATTGCATTGGGCAAATCTGCTACGAAAGACCTCTTTGAAGTGTTAAAAAGCAAAGATGTCACCTTGAAGAATAAGATGTGCCTGACCCATGCTATGGTGTTTCAGTGGCCTCATACACGTGCGAAAGCTGGGCAGTGAGTAAGAAAGACCAAAGAAGAATTGATACCTTTGAATTATGGTGTTGGCGAAGACAATTGAATATACCATGGACTGCCAAAAGAACGAATAAATCTGTCTTGGAAGATGTACAGCCAAAATGCTCCTTAGGAAAGGATAGTGAAACCACGTCTCACATATTTTAGACATGTTATCGGGGAGGACCGGTCCCTAGAGGAGGACATAATTCTTGGTAGAGGATCATTGAAAAACAGGAAGACCCTCAACGAGATGGATTGACACAGTGGCTGCAGCAGTGGGGTCAAGCATAAAAACGATTGTAATGATGGCACAGGACCGGGCATTGTCTCCTTCGGTTATACATAGGGTTGTTATGAGTCGGGACCGACTTAGTGACGCCTAACAACCGTAGTCTCTGGATTAATATGCACTGTTAAAAATAACTTAATGTCTTGCCCTACAGTTAAGTTTAGTAGTGTTGTAGGGTAAAAACATCACAAAGTTTAGTAAAGCAAGAAGTTTTATTCGGCATATGTTCAAAGAGGCATAAGTGGGAAATTGGACAAATGTGCTGCTAGAGCTATATCTGCCCGGGTCCAAGGAAATATTATAGAATAAAAGAATGGGAAAACGGACAATCATGCTGCCACAGCCATGTCTTCCCGAGGCCGAGGTGTATTACAGAATGAGCAAGAATGGGAAAATGGACAAGCATGGTGCTAGAGCCATGTTTGCCCAAGTCCAATTACGGAATAGGCAAGAATGGGAAAACGGACAAGCATGCTGCCACAGCCACGTCTGCCCGAGTCCAAGGAACGCTACAGAACTATCAGGATATATTAACATCACAAAATGGGTAAAATCATTGAAAGCTTCACCTTTTCATCAATTGGCTAGAAACTGCTAGATCAACGTGATTCTACATTTTGAATCATCTTTCTTAACAGTCATTGGTACAGGTTTCAGTTAGGACAGTCAGGAGGGTCTTCATTGGTCCAACAAAGAGTGGAAAGTCTTTTGTGTTCCGTTTGATTGGCTTATGTGAAAGGTTCCCTAAAAGACATTTTCCAAGATTATCCTAGCTATTGTCTATAGCTCAGGGCCCAGTTGATGTGTCCTTTTGAGTCCAGTTCCAGCTGGGTCACATTCTTTATGCTCAAGGACAGAGAATAATGACTCCAATATTGTTTCCTAATTCAGTAGCAGGAGAAGGAAACATCAGTGCCTCTGTTTAACAGCTGCATTTTCAGGCAAACCCATGGCCTCTCTAGGACCCAGGTGCTCTGTTAAGTGGAGCTAACACTGGCTTGTCCTGAAGGCAGGAGCCTGGCTCTGACTTTTGTTTTGTTAGAAAAGCCCCACATCCATTTGAAAAACAATAGTTATTCTTTGACCCTTAGGGTTTTCTTGGCTGTAATCCTTATGGAAACCAATAGCCAGGTCTTTCTCCCAAGGAGCTGCTGAATGGGTTTGAACCATCAACCTTTTGGTTAGCAGCCTATCACTTCACTGTTGTGCCACCAGGGTTCCTTATTCATTAAAGAAAATAATAGCCCTACCAATTAAAGATGGCTTTTTTTTTTTTAATAATAATTTATTGTTTTTGATGAAGGTTTACACAGCGGTTCAGGTATCCATTCAATTTCTATGCAAATTGTTCAGTGACATTGATTACATTCTTCAGTGTGTGAACATGCTCATTATTTCTGTTCTGGTTATTGTTTCCATTAATCTAGTTTCCCTGCCCTCTACATTCTCATCTTTTAGTTTTTTACCATTTGGTCTCATATAGGTGATTTTTTATAGGAGCACAGTATTTACTGGTGATATTTTTTGAGCCAATCTGTTATTTAGGTGACCTGATGTTAGTTTTGTTTCAAGGTTTGAAGAGTATCTGAGGGCAGTAGTCTTGGAGAGCCCTCCAGTCTCAACCAGTCAAGTAGAACTGGGTTTTTTGCTGTTGTTTTAAGAATTTGAGGTTCTGTTCCACATTTTTCTCCCATTCTGTCAGGGTCCATCTGTCATGGCCCTGATTAGAATGGTCAGTAGTGGTAGTCAGGCACCATCTGCTTCTGGTCTCAGGGTAGGTGAGGCTGTGGTTCACTTAGCCTATTTGTCCTATGAACTAGTTTCTACTTTGAGTCTTTTGGCTTCCTTCTTTCTCTTTTGCTCTGGAGAGTAAACACTAATGATTGTATCTTAGATGGCCACTTGGAAGCTTTTAAGACCCCAAACACTACTCACCAAAGTAAGATGTAGAACATAACAGAGTAGAACTACCCCATAGGGTACCCAAGGCTGTAAATCTTTCCAGAAACAGACTGCCACATCTTTCTCCCACAGAGCGGCTGGTGGGTTTGAACTTCAGTTAGCAGCCAAGTGCTTAACCACTGCGCCAACACAACTCCTATACATATGCATACATCTATATATACATGCACGTATATACTCTTGTATATACGTAGCTATACACATATATGCCTAAATAGATGCGTATGTACCCATGCATATATTTTTTGGTTGTTGCTGTTGCTTCAAAATTATATACGCCATAGTAATTACCAACAGGTCCTTTTTTCTTGTATACATTTTAGTGACATCGTTTACCTTAGGTTGTGCACACTTCACCTTCATTCCGTGTTACCTTTCCCATCACCAAAAATAGCAAGTGCCTACTATCTAGAGAGTGAATCCTCCTTTTCCCCCCACCATCCCTGGTAACCACTGATCCACTAATGAGCATTGTTTCTGTATATTTACCTGTTCATGTCATTTCATAAAAGTGAGATCATACAGTAATTTGAGTTTTTTTTTCTGATAGACTTATTTCGCTCAACGTAATGTCCTCCAGGTTCATCCATGTTCCAAGATGTTTTGGTAACTCATTTTTCTTTATAACTGAGTAGTATTCCATTGTATGTATGTACCACGTTTTACTTATCCATTCATCCGTTGATGGGCACTTAGGTTGTTTCCATCTTTTTGCTATTGTGAATAGTGCTGCAGTGAACATAGGTGTGTATATGTCTGTTCATCTCACTTCTATTGTATCCCTAAGGTATACACCTAGGAGTGGAATTACTGGGTCATAGGACACTCCTACCTCTAGTTTTTTTGAGGAACCGCCAGGTTGTTTTCCACAAAGGCTGTACCGTTTTGCATTCCCACCAGCAGTGTATGAGGGTTCCAATTTCTCATCCTCTCCAACACTTGTTTTCCATTTTTTTTATCTTAGTCATCCTAGTGGGAGTGAAATGGTATCTTATTTTGATTTGATCTGAATTTCTCTGATGGCTAATGACTTTGAGCATCTTTTCATGTGTCTGTTGGCTATTTTGAATATCCTCTTTGATGAAGTATGTTTATGTCCTTTGCCCAGCTTTTGATTGTTGTCTTTTTGTTAAGTTGTGAAGTTTTCTATGTATTTTAGATATTAGACCCTTATTGGTTATATCGTTCCCAAAGATTTTTTTTTCAGTGTGGGTTGTCTGTTTACTCTTTTGATAGTCTTTAGATGAACTTAAGTATTTAACTTTTATGAGGTCCCAGTCATCTGTTTTGTTTTCTGTTGCTCATGCATTCATTTTGGTGTTTCATAATCTATCAGTGAAAACAATTATGTTCCAAAGCTTTGCTCCTGTATTTTCTTCCAAGAACTTTATGGATTTAGATTTAACATTTAGGCACATGATCCATCTTGAATTAGTTTTTGTGTATGGTGTATTTCATTTTCTGCATGTAGAAATTAGTTTTGCCAGCACTATCTGTTGAAGAGACTGTTCCTTCCCCATTAAAGACAGCTATTCTTAGCATTTTAGTGGTTATGAACTTAGCCCTGGGGAATTATAATTTGTGTGTTTCACTATTCACATATCCCTCATAATTTCTAAAGCTTAAAAAGATATATGTATGCCAGACAGGCAAGGAAGCAAGCATAGATGAACTGGAATGGCTCCTTTGGTTAATGTGTCATGCAGGCCAGTCGTCTGCTGTCTGTTGCTACTATTCTAGTAGTGTGTTCTATGACTAGATTAATTTGGGGTTACAGAGTTTTTTCTGCACGTCTAGTGTCTGCAACCATGAGAATTTTTTCCATTAATCTGAAATCTGACCGCACACATGCCCTGTCTTCAATTCCTTGCCACCTAACGTGGTATCTGAAAGACAGCACTATCAGTATCATCTGGGATCTTGTTAGGAATGTAGACTCGGGCCCTAACTCCAGACCTACTGAACCACATGGTTTTTTGTTGTAAGTCATGTTGAAAGCATAGTTTGGCTGAAGAAAAAATTTGTATTGATACCATTAAATAGCTGCCAACAAATTTATTAGGTTATAAAATTTAAATATTTGTCAGAGTAAAACTGACAAATGAACACGTCTTCCTTAGAGCTAACTTATTTTGACTGGGAACAATATAAACATGACCTTAATGAAAGAATTTTCTAAGGCGACTTCAGTATTGTTTGGGCTGTTTGCACTGGAGTCATCAGTGCACACATGGTCACAGAACACTTAGCCCTCCAGTCTTCTACAGCCTGGCATCCAGCTGCGTTATTTCACAGTGGAGCTGAGGGGAAAGAGACCAAGAAAGACTGTCCCTACATTATTGTCACGCCTTTTTGATCCTCAGTGCTCTAGGTTGGGGAAGTTGTATGATAAAGCTAGAGAACAAAATCAGTATCAGAGCATAAATAGTTTGAAAGGAGAGGTAAGAGAACAAACATCCCAGAATGCTTTTTTTCTCCTGGGAACAGAGCAAACAAAGCAAATGCATCTTTGGGGTCTCTTTCATACTCTGCTCTTGTTGATAACTGGCCTAGATCAGTGTATCATGTTAAAAATGGAAAATGGTTAGTTTACCAGAAAGGTCATTGAGTTCATATGCCTATCTGTTATATTCAGATGTAATAAATAGGTATATGATTAATTCAGAAAATGAACTTTACAGAATATTTTGGATATTCAGTAAAGACTTCAAGTCTCATGCTAACTTTTTTTTTTCAAAATTAGATTGTTACTAATTAATCAGAAAATTTAGAAGAGGCAAAACACTATGTAGAAAAAAAAGGAAAATTACTCAATCACACAGCCATAGAGAACCACTATAGAAATATCCGTGAATTTGCTTCCATAAACATTGCTGTGTTCAGTAGGAACTTTATTTATTTTGTTCTTTTTGTTGAGGATATACACAGCAGACATACACCAGTTTAAGTTTCCACATGTACAATTCACTGACATTGATTACATTGTTGTAGTTGTGCAACCATTCTCACACTCCTTTTCTGAGTTGTTCCTCCCGTTAACATAAACTCACTGCCCCGTAAGGTTCCTGTCTAATTTTTTGAGTTGAAGTTGTCAGTTTCATCCCATATGGATAGATCTTAAAAGAGCATAATGCTCAAGGCAGACATTTTTTACTAGTTAAGCTAAACTATTGTTTGGTTTTAAGATGACTTCAGGGGATGTTTTTGGTTTAATGTTTACAGATTATCTCAAGACACTATTTTCAGGATTCATCCAGCTTCCATGGCGCCAGGAAGTCTGGATTCCATGAGAATGTGAAATTGTGTTTTGCAACATCCTTTAAATACCACTTTAAAAAGTTTTAAATATGCTTTTCTACACTAAAGCCATTCAAGTTTTTTAGAGTGTGTCTCATGAGCTATCGATAAGATTTACTTGCACGAAAAATAAAAAGGGTTCTGTGGTTTGGGAAGTGCTAGGTAAAACAAGCTGTCGAACGCAAGAGCTTCTCAAAGCCTTCAGCACAGGCAGTGGGTGCTGAGCTGGGCAGACCGGCTCCTTTGTCTCAGTGCTCATCCCTCCGGGCTTGTCAGCAGTGACACAATGTGCTAGTAAAATGGATTTGTAGTAAAATTCATTTTACTATGATTTGTAATAAAGTGTGTTTTTGTGTTTTCCTTATTCAGGCTCTGGCATCCTGCTGTTTATTTTCCACGCAAACTTTCTGGGTAAAGAAGTTATTGCTCGGCTCTGTGGACCATGTAGTGTACAAGCCGTAGTTTTAAATGATAGATTTCAACTTCCTGTTTTTCTGGTAAGATTTTTTTGTAGCTCAGTACTGAAAATTACTACCTCCTAAACAAAAGTACAGATAACTTTTCGTTTTAAATCCCTGTTTTAATAAAATACAATCATTAAAATTTTACCAGTCATGACCCATAAAGTAAAATTATTCTAAACATTGTCAGTAGAAAACTAATTCATTTTTATGCCTTAAATTATGCTTACCATAATGTCTTAGAACCTACATTATTCTGAATATAAATTTTTATGGTTATAAGAAATATATTGCCTGATTTTAAATAGTATGCCTCCTTCCTGCTATTATAATGACAAACGTTATGGCAGGAAAATTTAGAAAATTCAAAAAGGAAAAAAAGTTTATCTTTTCATGCTTTCAATTCCTAAATTCAGCCACTGTATTGGCATTGGTTGTATGTATGCTTAGTTTTAACACATAATCTGAATAATCATTATTATACTATACATTCAGTTCATCATGAAAATTTAAAAATAAAAATACATAGTCAATAATACACAAGTGGCTGTGTATAAATGCTCTGCAGAAATGCTCTTAAAGAATTTTGTGCATAAAACTTTGCCACATTTAGAATTCTTCCCTTAAGCTGAATGTAACGAAATTGAGTATGAACATTTTTAACACTCATGCTTTATGCAGCTGGATACATTCTGTTTTCAAAGATTTATCTGGATTTTGTTTTTTGTTTTTGGTCATTTGCATCTTTTTAATAAATTGAGGGAAAAATAAGGAAATCACAGCATATTGACTTATAAAAAATTAAATGCAAAACTTTTGTATGATTCCCTTTGAAATCATTTGAGCCTTAAAAGTTTCTGGTCTCTATTATAATAAAGTTACGTCTGTTTCTGGATGTAGAAGATTCTGAAGCAATAACTGACTTTATTTTTGGTCTCTTTCCACTCTAGGATAGTCATTTTGTTTATTCATTCAGTCCTGTTGCCGGCCTCAATAAACTCTTTATAAGGTTGACTGAAGCACCCTCTGCTAAGGTGAAAATTCTTCCCTCATATTTAGTGTTACTTCTCAAATTGTTACTCCAAATCATTTTATCATCATTAGAAAAAATTTTCAAGAAAACGTTGTGCTTCTTAGCCTCTGGAAGAAGGGTGTGTCCTAGAGACAAGTACTCCCTAGGGTAGCAATTCTACATGCACCTTACTTGTCTAGATCTAAAATGTGTCAGACATAAATAATGAAATGTGCCAATAAAGAGACTAATGAGAATACATCTCAAGTCAGTTCCAGGCTTTGGTATTTACTTGTCACTACTGTAATGTTTCTAACATATTCTAAAAGCAAATTATAAGCCCTTGGAATTTTTTGGTAACAGTGGAAGAAACACCACCAAGTCGAAAATATTGCCAAGTAAGAGAAACAAGTGTAGGCTATGTTTTGTTTTCTCCCGCTTTTTAGAAAAGGGGAACTTTTTACTTCTGTACTGATACGTATTTTTTCTTCCAATAGGTTAAGTTGCTAATAGGTGCATACAGAGTGCAGCTGCAGTGAACAAAGGATTGTGATGGAGTTCTCTTCAGACCTATTTTTAAATACCTCTCTTCACAGCAGTTTGGAATTCTTCTGGCACATCTAACCCTTTCAGATTTAAAGTTTTATCTGTAAACCTCTTGCAGTTCAAGGCCTGTCATCTGTTGTAGTCTATAAGATGGGACACAGTTGTTCTAACAGGTTATAAAATATAGGTGTAAGTATTCATGCCAGTATTCTGAAATCTCCATGTTGTGGTGTCCAGACTGCATATTTCAGTTCTCCACAATGTGGAATGCTAAATGAGGATTATTTAAGAAAATTAAACGATCTTTTTTAAACTTCAGATTTTCTTCAGATTTTCTACTAGCCCTGGTGAATTCTGTGTTTTTAAAAAAAAAAAAAAATCGAAAGTGTGAAAAGTTTTTGTTTGCTTACAACAAGGGAGCCATGTTACATTCAAGACACCCAAGCACTGAAGTGTGAATTTGCTGCCCTTGAAGTATGACTAGTTGACTAGTCATGCTGAGGGGGTAAAGGTCTGATCTGTTTTATAATAAATACATACTTGCTACAGATCTGGAGCAGAAAGGTTGGAATTTGACAATAACTTTGTAAATTTGAGGTTATTATCCTTTGAAAAGGTAGCTAGGTGATAATATCTGAATCTAAAACGAAGCTAGAATGTAAACCAGGACATTAGCCCTAAAGGGAATGTTTAATTGTCAACTTTCATCCCTTTTCTTGGAATCCGTCAAGTGATTTGGAAAAGCTAGATCCTGTGCACTTATTTTGAAAAATTGGAAAAGCTTAAATCCTACCCGTGCCTTGCTGCCCTGGTTGCTACTTCAGATGCCATAGTGCCTCTATGTGAACAGTTACTGCGTCTATAGATTGCTCACGGGTATGTAATGCTTATGTCCTTTTAAAACGTATTTTCCAAACATTAATCAAGCTCAGATTGTTTAGTTTTTGATTAGTTTATAATTGTATGAATTGTAATTTTGATGAAACTTTTTTCAGAATGTCACATATTAGATCCACACACATTTTATAGACATTTCAGAGAGCCATTTTTACTATATATCCTAACACTGCTTTTTCCTACAGTTTTCTCAATAAAACACAATGTTGGTCTTTTTATTTCCTTTCTATGTAGCGTCTCAGGACTTCAAGGTGTGGTTTTCAATTTAATGAGGATTGAGAACAGGCTTTTTCAACTAAATTGAATCATGTACTAGTACTGTATCATAGCTTTCTAGGCAAAAAAGTTAAGAAGAGGTTTGAATTAGCAACAGTGCATAAGCTAGGAATTGTAAAGGAGATAATAGTATCTTGGTCAGCTACATATAAATGAGTTTTTAAATAAAATTTGTTTTGTCCCAGAATCATGTCTAGGATATGAACAGCCTTTCCAGGGCTACATTAGAAACTACATTCTTTTTCAAGGAGGTAAAGCTATATATAACATACAAAACAAGTAGAAAACTGAACACAGTTCCTTTAGGAGCTTAGGTTGAGAAATATAGAAGCTGTGAAAAATCAGCAAGTATGTAATCTTTTAATACGTGACACTGGACCCTAGGGAGGAAGGTATATTGGAAAAGAAGGTGGGTTCACTTGCCCCCCTTTTCTATTTTGACTAAAACAGGGTCAGGGAAAGAAAAACATGTTAAAATTTGAGATAACTTAGCACTGTATTTGAGTTGTCTCTGTCTCAGCTTTTAATAGTTACATGGCACATTAGTTACATGGCACATAGTTATGTGTCTACCAGAAATACAGTGTATAGCCACATAATTTAATACAGTTTGTTTTGCATCTCTGTAACCAAGTAAATAGCACACTTGGATTCTCTGTAAGTCCTTGAATGAGGACTGAAGAATAAATACTGGACGTTCTGGTGGTTTAAAAAGATGAAAAGGGCTTGAATCAGCTGGAAAGCCACTTTACAGCTATTTCTCTGATGAGGCAACAATCCTATCAGAGTGCAGACAATGCTGCAACTTGGGATTGCAGTAACATTATTCTAAAAGGTGCAAGCAATGATTTCTTTGGGAAACAGGAATTTTCTAGTAACAACTTCCCACAAGGTTGATATATAAGGTATACTTTTAGTACTACAGGTCAAGTCCAAAGCATATAGTTAAGAAAGGATGTACACTTCAGAATATACATAACTGAGGTTAATAGTACAGGACCCGGGTGATCTTGTGACTAAGCAGATAATCACAACTTGAATGAATTACTCGACCAAACTCACTGGAAAGCAGTTACCACAGACCTTTTTACTTCACTTTTAATTCAAAAATTTAACATTACTCCTCTGCTATTATTCCTTTCCAGTGTATGCTGAGGTAAGGACAGTGCATGTGCATAATTGGGTTATTCAGTTAATTGCTAACTATCACACGAGTTACAGTGTTATGATACACTCTAATGAGTATGGCAGTAGTAGAAAGCACATTAATAAAATCTTCAATACCTAGTACAAAATAGGAATTCAGTAAATGTTGAACAAGTACAATTAAATATAAGGGAAGTTTGGTTTCAGTCCAGGAATATAAAATTATTCCACTTTATATACTTACCCTCTAAATTCATTCACATCCTGATTCTTAAATTTGTAGAATTTATTTACTGGAATGTCAAAAGGATGCAACTTGAAGCTCAGGTGTTATACCTTCCAAAGGTAACCATAATCCTGAATTTACTTCATCCAGAATGTAAACACTGCTGGCAAAGTTGTTTAACATCCAGAATGTTACCAATGAAAAGGACTGACTACCAATTCTTTAGAATAACGATATAAAAAAGCATAACGAGGGTACTTAGCAAACACCAGGGAGACGCAACAAACACATCAGAATACCAAAAATATAAGTAACAGTACAAAGTATTTTGAAAACGTTAATAATATTTCTTGCATTTAACGTTTCACAGCATACTACAGTATAAACCCCTAAAATTATTTTAAGTTGCAAAATTACTGCTCTCTTCTATATAAATTCTGACAGAGGATGGAATCCATATTACTTTATTCACTGACCTTTGGGAATTGTTTCCTGCCAGTTTGCAGATAATGCAGACAGACCCAAATCTGGGACTTCTCCAAGCACAGAAGAGCTTTACTAATAAGCTAGAATAGTGTAATGATAAACACAATACAGTGAGGGTTCACAATTCAGTCAGTAAAAAGTGAAAAAGGGGAGTAGTCCCCTGGCCATCCTGCACACCCAGGGAGCCCCAGTTGGAACCCAAGCTTACTATTTGGCATCAGTTTAGAATAAGAAATGCTTTGTCTATCACCATAATACATCTGCTTTTATTCATCTATCTCATTATTTGTTTTTCTTAGGGCAAGAACTACAAATTTTAAGTTAAAAATGCAATTTCCTCACAACAATGCCATATTTCTTATCATGGGGGCTGACTGAAAATTTAGGGCTACAGAACAGTGGTAAAAATCCCTCTAATGATCCCCAGCTACAGGGAGTTAAAAAGGGGAGGTCATTACTCTGAATTTATGGGCTACTACAATAGTATTTTCCAACATTAACCAGCACCACACCAAGAGGTCGATAATATTTTGATATAATGAAAACCACTCACAACTGGATCAAAATGGAAACTTGAGCTTGCATTATTCTAGATATTTTAACTACAGAAAATGTGCTTATGAGGCATATATTAAAGTATTAATGATTGTTTTTATATACATGAATTCTTTATATGGAGTAATAAATTCACAAATGAAGTAAGATTTGCCTTCTGAATTGTTTCTCCTGTATCATTAAAAGCATTTCTCCCATAAAATCATTTGACCCTGGGGGGAAAAAAAAAATTAACAGACAGGAATTAATATTCATCCGATATTTTTCTGAAGGAAAAGAAAGCAAATGCAGTTACAAAGAATATAATTTGCTAGGTCAGAATTACTGAGCAGAAGACCTAAAAAAAATTAAAACCTGAATTAATATATATATCTGAACTATTTATAAAAATAAAATCTCATTTTCTTAGTTCTATTTGTGAACTTCTATAGAGATTAGCCAAATAATGAAAAGTTAAATATGTTGATGCTATAAAGGAGTTTTTCTCAAAATGCAGTCCCCATACCAGAGCCTGTTGAGAATGTAGTCTCAGACCCCACCGCAGACCATCCAAAACAAATCTAGGGTTCCCCCTCCCCCAAGTCTTTTTCGTGTGTGTATGTTTTAGGTGAAAGTTTATACACCAAATTAGTTTCTCATTCAAAAATTTATACACAAGTTATTTTGTGACATTTGTTGCAATTCTCACAATATATGTCAGCACTCTCCCCAAGTCCACCCTGGGTTCTCCGTTTCCATTTGTCCAGTTTCCCTGTCCCTTCCTGCCTTCTTATGTGACCCATTTGCTCTCATATACTTGACTGCATGTGTATTGTTTGTTTTATAGGCCTGCGTAATCTTGGCTGAAAGGTAGAACTTGAGAGTGTCTTCAGAGTTAGCAGGGTGTCCCAGGGGTTCCTCCAGTGACCATCAGACCAGTAAGTCTGGTCTTTTTTTGAGAATTTGAATTTTGTTCTACATTTTTCTCCGCCTCTACCCAGGAACCTCTATTGTGATCCCTGTCAGTGTTGTCGGTGGTAGTAGCTGGGCACCATCTAGTTCTGGGCTCAGGCTGGTAGAGACTGTGGCTCATGTGGTCCATTAGTCCCTCTGGACTAACATTTTCCTTGTGTCTTTGGTTTTCTTCATTATTTTTTCTGGAAGGGATAGGACCAATAGTTTTATCTTAGATGGCTGTTCACAAGCTTTTTAAGATCCCAGATGCATAATAAAGGGCATTTATACAATGCCAACACCCAGCATGCTTCAACATTATGCTGGAGATCCTAGCCAGAGCAATAACGCAAGAAAAAGGGCATCCAGATTGGTAAGGAAGAAGTAAAAGTATCCCTATTCGCAGATGATATGATCTTATACACAGAAAACCCCAAAGAATTCACAAGAAAACTACTGGAACTAATAGAAGATTTCAGCAAAGTATCAGGATACAAGATAAACATACAAAAATCAGTTGGATTCCTCTACACCAACAGAGAGAACTTTGAAAAGGAAATTACCAAATCAATACCATTTACAAAATAGCCCCCAAGATTAAATACTCAGAAATAAATCTAACCAGAGACATAAAAGATGTACACAAAAAAAACTACAAAACACTACTGCAGGAAACCAAGAGACCTACATAAATGGAAAAACATACCATACTCATGGACAGGAAGACTCAACATTGTGAAAATGTCAATTCTACCCAAAGCAATCTATAGGTGCAATGCAACCCCGATCCAAATTTTCATGACATTTTAAAACAACATAGAGAAATCAACGTCATATGGAAAGGGAAGAGGCCCTGGCTA